AGATAAAGCATCTAATGATGTGAAAATTTCTGAGTTTCGAGAAGTGGGCCCGGGGCTCGAGTTTTGCTAACTTCGGGATTTTTTGATATTTTTCGATTGTTTTCGCTTGGGCTTTGTTTCCTTAGCATATTGTGACATATTCATTCTGGTTTTGGTCAGATTCGACGCGCGAGGAGGCCGATTTGAGAGGCAAGGGCGTCGCGAGCTAGAGATTTAGCCGGTTTGAGGTGAGTAATGAATGTAAATGATGTCCTGAGGGTTTGAAACCCCGAATTTGCACATCGTAGTGCTATATTGAGGTGAGACACGTGCTTGATGATGAGCGTGGCGTCGTTTACTATTGGGGATTGTGACTTGGCCCATCCCGATTGATGATTTTACCGCGTATTTGATTGAAACGTATTTGTTATCATCATTATTTGGACAGATTGTCATATTTGGAATTCGTGCCAACTATTTGAACCCTCCGAGGATTTTTATCACTATTTCCTCACTGTTTTGACTTACTACTTGAACTCAGTCGTACTGTTTCCACTGTTTTTACAACTCAACCACTTTTTACTCGGTTTTGGAACTAAAATGATATTTTAAATGATGTTTAGGCTGAGGACTACTGTTTTACTAATGCCCGAGGGGCTTATGTGATTTCTGGACTGAGTATGGTCGAGGGCCAGATGTGAGGATACAATGATACTGATATAAGGCCGAGGGCCTGAGATTCATATTTACGCCGCGAGGTGGCTGATACTGATATGAGGCTGAGGGCCTAGATTTGATGCCACGAGATGGCTTGATATTGCGCTTGGGTCGTAAGGGGCCTCTCCCGGAGTCTGCACACCCCCCGTGAGCGCGGGTACCCAATTATGATATGAGAGAGAGAGCCCGAGGGGCTGGTACTGTTCTACGTGTTGATTTTTCTGTAACTGTCTGTCACTTAACTGCTTATCTGTTGTAGAATTATCTCATTCTGCTTTTCATTGGTTTATTTCTTTTATACTACTTGTTTAACTGTCGCATTATAGATTACCCTGTGTATACGTGATCTCTTACTCTCGGTCATTATTTATGCTTATTACTCACTGGGTCGGAGTATTCACATTACTCTCTGCACCTTGCGTGTAGATCCAGGTATTCCAGAGGCTGAGTTAGAGCTTTCCAGTCGATCAGCATTATCCGGGAGTATCGAGGTAGCTGCATGGCATCCGCAACCCTGATTTTTCCCTTCCTTTCTATTGTATTTCGCATTCCTAGACTGTTTGTGTAGTAGGCTATTGAATTTGTATTAGAGGCTCGAGACTTGTGACACCGGATCGGGGTGGGCTATGTAGTAGTATTATCTTTTGACTTCCGCATATTTAACTTGCTGTTTCAGAACCTTATAATATTAATTTGATAATTAAACTGTGTTAGCTGATATTGGATTTTATAAGAAAATGGGTTGTGGTTGATAGTTGGTCAGGCTTGCCTAGCAATGTGTTGGGTGCCATCACGACCGGGGTTGGGGTCGTGACATCAATCCTTAATATTTAGAACATAAAAACAAACCATATACAAAAGTCATAATACATCATATGAAGCTACTTAAGTTCTCAAGCTACCGAATGAAAATTCTAAAGTTTGAAACGATCGGTCGAGTTGTTACAAGTAACTTGGCAAAAGTTATATGGAGGTGTGCAGGAGGTTTGGAAGCATTATACCTCAGGAAATAGTGGGATGAATTTAACAAAATTATACAGTTAGGGAGTGTGGATCAATATCAAGAACGATTTGAGGGACTCACTAGCTATATGACCACTATTAATCCATTATTAAATGACACCCACATTGTTTCTATCTATATTAGTGGTTTAAAACCTGAATTGAAACCACTACTAGCTAACCCCTCAACTATTATGGATGTTTATGAGAATGCTAAATTGTATGAGGAGTTTTTGCAGCCTTTGCTTCACTCATTCCCTCAAAACCTGTTTATTACCTATCTAACCCAAGACCCTTAGCCCTTACCTATCCTAGAGCCCCCCAAAATCCCAAACCAATAGCCCTACCAAATCCTAACCAACCTTTGAGAATTACTTACCCAAACCAAAAGCCACATGTTAGTGCTCCCCTCAAACCAAATTCTTTTGAAGCATTGAGAGAATAGGGTTTGTGTTATAAATGTAAAGACAGGTATTACCCAGGTCATATGTGTAAAGACAAGACTTTCCATGTTATGGAAGGGGTGCTAGTGGAAGGTGAACCAGAGATAGACGAGTTTGTAGATGTCACATAAACCTTTGAGTAAAATATAGAAGAACAAGTTGAAGTTTCAATTAATTTAGTGCTTGGATTAGGTAGCTCTACTTCTATCATTAAGTTACTTGGCTTTGCTAAAATGATTTCTTGATTGTGCTAATTGATAGTGGCTCCACCCACTCTTTTGTTGATCCTTATGTATCCAACTACTTAAGGTTACAAGTGTAGCCTAGTACAGTACCTTTAAAAGTATCTGTGGAAATGGTGAATCCATGTACTGCAATAAGGAATGCCCTCTGTTTTCTTGGAAAATGCAGGATGAAGTGTTTTCAATTAATATTAAGCTTATGAAGGTTGGGGATTGTGATATGGTCCTAGGGATGGAATGGATTGACCTTTTTGCTCCAGTAATACCAAGACACACAGCTAATCCTTTCAAAAGGAAGGTAAGATTGTAACCTTATGGGGCATAAATAAGAAGCTTGAACGGCCATTACTTGATAGTGGAGCACTCAAAAGAATGTTGTAGTGTAAAACTTGTAAGGTGTTGACTGAAATATGTATGAAGAACTCTAGGAATGCAACAACTGGAAAAGAGGTGATAAATCCTATTGTGGAAAGGCTATTGTCAACTTACATAGAAGTGTTTCAAGAACCAACTAAATTTTCACCTAAAAGGAGTTGTGATCATGCAATAAACATGGTTCCTGATGCATAGCCGTTCAATTTGAGACCTTACAGGTACTCTCATGATCAACAGAATGTAAAAGATTCAATAATAAATGATATGCTTGAGGCATAAATAGTGATTTTATTCATTCATCCTTTTCTCCCCCTACCTTACTTGGTAAAAAGAAAGTCACTTGAGGAGGCTTTGTGTCGATTATAGATGGTTGAATGCCTTGACCATTAAAAATAAGTCTCTTATCCCTATGATTGATGATTTGTAGGATGAATTACATGGGGTTATTGTGTTCTCTAAGGTGGATCTCAGGTCTGGATACTAGGTGAGAATCAATACCGAATATGAGCATAAAATTGCCTTTTTAACCCACCATGGGATGTGGTAGTTTAGAGTCATGCCATTTGGACTAACAAATGCCTCTTCTACTTTCTAGTTCTTAGTGAATGAACTCTTTAAAGAGAAATTGAGAATGTTTATATTGATGTATTTTGATGATATTTTGGTGTATAGCAAGACTATGAAAGATCACCTACTACACCCTGAAGTAGTATTGCAGCTAAAGAAAAGGAATAAGCTATTTGCTAAAGAAGTAAGTGTGACTTTTCTCAACCACAAGTTGAGTTTCTTGGGCACATTATTTCAGGAAAGGGTGTAAGCATTGAGTACAAGAGATTAATTTCATTGTTAGAGTGCCACAATCTGCTACTGTGAAGGAGTTGAGAGGTTTTCTAGGTCTGACTAGATATTACAGGAAGTTTGTTACAAAGTATGCATAACTCAATTGGCCCTTAACTAATTTATTGAGTAAGGGAAGCTTCAATTAGAGCCTTGAAGCAACCGAAAAAGGCTATGACCAAAGCTCCAGTATTGAACCTACATTACTTTAGCGATCCTTCCATTCTTGAAGTAGAACCATGCAACACTGGGGTGGGAGTTGTATTGATACAAGAAAAGAGTCCATTAGCGTTCATGATCAGTCCTTAAGCAAAAGGTATCAAAGATTATCAACTTATGATAAAAAGTCGATTGCTCTTTTGATAGCAGTGGAAAGGTGCAGGCACTACTTGCACCCACACCGCTTCATAATTAAAACTGATCATTTTAGTTTGAAATTTTTGCAAGAACAAAATATTACCACTTCCTTGCAACACAAAGGCTTAACCAAGCTGATGGAATTGAGCTATGAAATTCAATATAAAAAAGGAGTAAAAAATATTGTAGCTGATGCCTTATCAAGGAGAAGTGAAATAGCAACCAGCCACAGTGCCTTGTAGTAAGTCAATTGTAGCCCAAATGGTTTGAAGAAGTGGCGGCTAGTTATGAAGGAGATCAAGAAGTGATGCAACCTATTTCTAATCACACCACTAATCCAACTATTATTATGGATATCACTCTATAGTAGGGTTTACTAAGGCACAAAAGAAAGTTTGGATTAGCAATCATGGGAACCTAAGACATCAATCACAATTATACATAACTCTTAATTGGGAGGACATTGAGGTGTGATGGCTACATACCAAAGAGTGAAGACAATGTTCTATTGGCCTTCAATGATCAAGAATGTGAAGCTAATTGTGCAGGAGTGTGAGGAATGTCAGAGATGTAAAAATGAGTATGTGGACTATCTTGGACTTCTACAACCACTACTTGTGCCTGAGAAGGCTTGGGAACATATCTCAATGGATTCATTGAGAACTTACCAAAATCTAAAGGTTAGGACACTATTCTAGTAATAGTGGACAGGTATAGCAAATATGTCTATTTTCTTTCCTTAGCTCACCCCTTCACAACATCTCAAGTGGAAAAGTTATTCATGGATACAATCTATAAATTACATGGACTACCTAAGAGCATAGTTTCAAAAAAAAGACAAACTATTTATCACCAATTTTTGGAAAGAACTTTTCAAGTATTTGCAAGTGCGTCTACTTTATAACTTTGCTTATCATCCATAAATGGATGGACAAACAAAAATGTTGAATAAGTGTCTAAAAACTACTTAAGGTGCATGACAATACATAAGCCTAGGGAATGGAATAAATAATTGCATTTAGCTGAGTTTTGGTACAACAATACTTACCATATTTCATTGAAGATGACTAGTTTCAAGGTAATATATGGTTATGATCCTCTACAATTATCCTTTGAGTTGGTTGCACAGACTAGAGTAGCTGCTACTGATGAGATACTTAAGAAAAGACAGGTGATGGCCAAAGTGGTGAAAACCCGAAAAAGGCTCAGAACATAATGAAAATTTATGCTGGCGAGAAGAGGACTGAGAGAAAGTTTGAAGTATGTGACTGATTTATTTTTAAGCTACAATCATACAGACAAATATTTGTGGCAGTAAAAAGGAGTTTGAAGTTGGCTTCTAAGGTTTATGGCCCTTAGTAGATTATTCAAAAAGTTGGACCTGTTGCATAGAAGTTGAAGTTGCCCCCTTCGGCTAAGATACATCTTGTATTTCACATTTCTCAACCCAAGAAGAAGGTGAGACCTCAGACTATATCTTTAATTGATTCACCTATCAGTTCTCTAGAGGGACAACCTTTGGTAGAACATGTTGTTGTACTGGATAGGATAATGGAGAAAAAAGGGAAGTAAAGCCATAACTCAAGTTTTTCAGTGTGCCAACTTACTACCTGGAGAAGCTACTTGGGAAGACTACAATTTCATCAGGTCCCAGTTCCCAGATTTTGATGAAACTTAAGGACCAGGCTCTGAAGGAGGATGGATTGTTACGACTTTCTGAAGTTTTTAATTTTACAATTGGTCTATGTTTAAATTCAAGTTGTAGTATTAAATTATGCCAATGGAGATCCCTAGATTAGTATTGACATTTCAATTAAGTCCAAAAAGACTGTTAGTGGATTGTGGATAGGTGTCAGTCTTAGAGTAATAATAGGGAATCCAAAGTCAAATTTTGTTATATATCTATTGGTTGTTGTTCTAAATATTATTCAGTGAATAGATTATTCCCTCTTATCGTTTCTTCTCTCTTCTCTCTTGTCACGACCCAAAATCTTATCTAGCTGTGATAGCACCTGTTACATCCCGTGTTTCGTACGTTGAAGTTTTGTCATAAGTTAACTGACGTAAGTTCAAGAATGAGATTATTTTGAGATTATAAGCATTATGTTATTATCAACTGTGAATTGTGGTATTATTGAACATTTTGTTTATGTTTAGTGCAACTTCTGTTTATCCATTCTTCTTGTAGTAATTGAGTGGAAGATAATTTGTCGGCAAAATGATGAGTTATGACGATTGAGTATACTAACCAGTGTATATTAAGAAAGTTATTATCAAAATAAGTTGCTCTAGTGGATTATGGCTTAATCCAAATACATGGCTATTATCAACTATGAATTGTTTGTATCAATAATTATCTAAACATGCTTCACCAATTGATTAGCATGTAGTTTAGTAACCCAGGTTCAGTAAAATAAATAATTTTCTCATTAAATTAATAGGTCCTACTTCCCTTTAAATCTTGATTATTATTTTGAGAAAAGGATGTCTATGTTATTTATTCCTGTAAAATAATATTAATCAGAGGTAGAATGGTCTTTTGACGTTCTGAGAAGTTTTATTAACGTATTTCTCATGCATTGCATTTATTTATATGTACATTTACCCATGACTCAGACGGTGTTATATATGCGTATATATGTATATATATGTATATGGTATATGAAAAAAGGTTACGGCATTATATACGTACCACCACCTGATCAGCTGGTATACGTTGATGATGTTGCGCATAGTGGCACCAGATGGCATTATATATGCATATATATGTAAATATATGTATATGGGAAATGGGAAAAAGGTTACGGCATTATATACACACCACCACCTAATCAGCTGGTATATATTGATGATTTGCCCACAATGGCCGAGATGATATGATGGGATGCCCTCAGAGGCTTGATGATGTTATGTACGTACAGACCTATGCATCACATGACATTTATATGCATATGCATGACATTAAAAATATTTCATGATTTACAGAGCTATCTAAACTTACAAGTTGTGTCCTTTACTCCATGTTTCTTCCATGCTCTTTATATATTGATTTACATGTCTTACATACTTGGTACATTATTCGTACTGACATCCTTTTGTTGGGGACGTTGCATTCATGCCTGCAGGTATAAATAATCAGTTTGACGAGCCCTTATAGTAGACGAGGTTGGCATTCAGCGAAGGATCGGTAAGACTCTACCTCATTCGGAGTGCAGCCGAGTCTATGAGATATCGTGTCAGAGTTTTGCTATAGACTTATGGGTAGACCGGTATCCTGTCCCATTTAATGTCGAATAATCATAAAGGCTTTGTAGGCAGAGGTTCATTTTGTATAGTATGTCAGAGGCCTTGACGGCCCATACGTATTCATGTTTTAAGAAAAATGGTTCAGTGGTAGAGTGTTTTCCACTTACAGTTGCACATTATGAGTTGTGGCCATGTTGGCCCATGACAGTTGCAGAAGAAAGAAATGAGTTACAGAATAGTTCGCTTGGGCCAGTACGATACCGGGTGCCAGCCACGCCTCCCCAGGTTGGGGCGTGACACCGGGGGGCTCAGGTGGAGTTCGAATGGTTAACGGATCAAGTTTGGAATTTGAAAGACTGTTATAGTTCACCAGGTCTTGTGCAATCGCACTTGCGGAGTTTTGATCGCAGGTGCGATCTCGTAGAAGTGAGCAGGGACTGGCAGATGCGGCTTGAAGAGGGGTGTGCAGTGGTCGCAGGTGCGAGGGTATTTCCATAACTGCATGGTTGCAGATGCGGAGTATGGGTGCATAGCGGGCTTAGTAAGGAAGCTGTGGAGCGCAGATGCAGAAGAAGTTTCACGGATGTGGACTCGCACCTGCGCAAGTGGGATCGCAGAAGCGAAGGTAGTGACCTTCAGGTACAACCGCAAAAGAGGAGGAAGTGTCTGCACCTGCGAGACTGCAGATGCGGTTAAGTGGGTCGCAGGTGCGAAAGCTATGGCAGTGCTAAATCTAAAGGGTTTAATGATTCTTCTCATTTTGGACTTTGCAAACTCGAACTAAGGCAATTTTTTAGAGGGATTTTGAAGAGTTTCTTGAGGTAAGTCACTTGTAGTCATTTTTATTCAATAATCTTCTTTCCCTATTGAATTTTCCACCTAGTTTGTGTGTTTTTGAGGTGGAATTTTGGGAGTTTGAGGTTAGGTATTTAGAGAGTTAATTTGGGGTATTTGAGTGATGATTTGGTGTCGAAATTTGGTAAATTTGGTATGGTTGGACTCTGGTTGAATGAGGTTCCTGATTTTATGACTTTTATCAAATTTCAAGACGTGGATCCGGGGGTTGACTTTTTAACTTTTGATTAAGAACCTAGTAATTTCTTATGGAATTGACTCCTTTAACTCGTGTTGATTGTATCAAATTGTTTATGGCTAGATTCGAGGCATTTGGAGGCCGATTCGCGAGACGAGGGCTTATTGGAGTAGAGATTTGCACGGTTTAAGGTAAATAACACTTCTAAACTTGGTTCTGAGGGTATGAAAACTTGAATTACGTGTTATATTATTGGTGTTGAGGTGACGCACATGCTAGGTGATGGGCGTGTGGGCGTGCACCGTAAGAATTATGACTTGGTCGATTCCATGGAACTATATAGTTGAATAATCTTGTCATTATCCGAATTTTCACCATGTGTTAAAGAAATTGAGCTACTAGTCATGTTAAAAATCATGCTTAGGCTATGTGTTGGTACTATTGGGACCCACTAGGTCGTGTTACATGTTGAATTATTTGCTTAAATTTGCTATTTTGTACTTAGCTATTATTTGCATATTATATCTCAGTTTCTGTTGTCCTTTATTGATATACCATCATCATTATTTGGGTTGATTATCATGATTCTTGTGAGCTCGGGAGACTGGAGAGATTAATGACTGAGTGAGGCCGAGGGCCTGATTGTAAAGATATTTATGAGATCGGGTTGCACAACACAGCATGTTTATTGATTCATTCTTGGCTTATTATAGCACTTGGGCAGGATTTTCCTCTCCAGAGTCTGCACACCCACAGCGAGTACAGGTACCTACTGAGTGCGAGTGCCAAGCGATTGGGAGGATTGAGTGACTGTGAGGGTGAGTTACTGTGAGGATGGAGTGAATGGGAGGACTGAGTGATTGATACTCTGAGAGTATTCATGTGATTTCATTACTATTTCGTACTTCAGTTGGCATAAATAACTGACATGTAGATACCGAAATGTACCATATCTTATTTCAATTGAACTTGCATGATTTACCTATTTGGGCTTTAACTGTTAAACTAAAAGCATGCCTATATTTCTATACTGTAATTTTGTAATTGAATTGTACATGTGAAGCTCGTCACTACTTTCAGCCCAATAGTTAGACTTATTGCTTACTGAGTTGGTTGTACTCACACTACACCATGCACTTCGTGTGCAGATCCAGGTGTTCCCGGACATGGTAGTTGCTGATTCTCTATACTTTACCATCATTCGGAGATATTCGAGGTAGTTGTCCTGGCATCAGCAGACCTTGACCCTCCTCCCCTATCCCTCAGTTTTATTTATTCAGTTTTAGTTTTCATAGACAATGTTTCATACTTGTATTGTATAGATGTTCATGTACTTAGTGACACCCTGATTTTGGAAAACTTATGTATCGAGTGTGGCAGTTTTATTCGGTTTATGAGATTTCTTACTTAGTTAAAAACATGTTTTAATATATTCTAAATTTGGAAGTGTTGGAAGTGTCTGAGTTATCGGATTGCCTAGTAATATGATAGGCACCATATTGATATTTGGGTCGTGGCAGTTCCCTCCTTAGAATTTCCAATACCTTCTCAAAGTGCCCTTTGTGTTCTTGGATTGTAGGACTATAGACTAGAATGTCATCAAAGAAAGCTAGTACAAATTGCCTCAAATAATCTTGGAAAGCCACAACACTTTAGGCTACAAAATCCAGTAAGTCTAGATTATGAGCTCTCATCCAATCTCCTCCTAGAATCATGTCACAACCCCCTTGATGGATCAGTCTGAATGAGTCCTCAAACTCTATCCTTTGTATTTTCCATCTCAACATAGGACAATAATAAAGGCTCATCAGTTGGTTATCATTAGCCACAGTCACCCTCATAGGTCTAACTTCCTTTAGGATACAGCTAGTTTGCCTGGCAGTCTCCATACCCAAAGAACTATGGGTACTTCCTAAGTTTAGTAAGATAGTTAACACCTTCTTTTTGGCTATTCCATTCAGTGTAATTCTATTTGGAACCTCTGTTCCTAATAAAGCATTAAGGCTGACAACTTCTTCCATCGTGGCACCTATCGTGGCTAATGAGCAGGAAGTGAAACCCAAAATACTAGTTGAGATCATATGAGTTGCACAAAAATTCGAAATATGTGGGAACTAAGATAAGCTAAGTATGCATAAAACAAGGGGGCAGAAAGACCAGGAAAAGTAATAGCTTATGATTAAAGAAAGATGAGAAGGAATGAAAGGAATTATTCAATCAACGGTTCCAGAGTTAGTTATGTTATGAATGCACTTAAGATTTCGGAGTATTATCCATGCATCATATATGTTGATAATCATATAGCCGTTGAAGACTCCGGCATGAGTTAAAAAAAGAATTGAGTCTAGGTCATAGACAAAGGATTGAATTGTTAGAAGATTGTATCATGGATATTCCATAAAACTCATGAAAGGGTAAAGTAATAACTAATACCAGGAGCCGCAGATCGGAAGATAGCTTAAGCCTACATAAAGGCTGATCAGAAGGAAGAGGAAACTAAAGAGTTACATCAACCAAGTAAATCAGGAGTCTGATTATTAGACCCAGGAAATTATAGAAATCGTGATTGATAACATTACAAAATCACTCTTAATATCAAAGATACAATAGAGATAGTACAACAACTATATTATATAACGGCTCTACGATAAAGCCAGTTAGAAGAGTACCAGCCTTATAAGAAGTCAGTGTGAGGCTCCCACCGGATTATGTATGCACCAGAGGTATAAATATTATAATAGAGCTTTAAGTTGTGGATGTGAATTATACCTATGTGGAAGGGAGGTCATGAAAGAGATAGAAGATGTGATGCAAGATTTTAAGGTAAGTAAGCTAAAGGTGAACAACATACGAGATACTCAAGTGCAGAAGGTTGTGAATAATATTTACTTCAAATAGAGGGCTAGAAGCATTGGAATTCAGTATCCAAGAAGATAGCAGTGTCATTAGTGCCATATCTTCCAGCCTTTGGTTTCTAGGTATCGAGAGGTCTAGCTAAGAGAGTAAATAAGAGTTAGATACAATGCGATGTCTCGCTTGATGTTCCAGAATAACATAAGGAAATCTATGGTGCAAGCAAGTTAAAGGAAGGTTGTGAGTAGTATAAATAGATATTTGTAGGTCGCAAGCTAAAGTATGGTAAAGCAACAAGGTTTTAGGAAGACAGGAGTACGGATAAAAAAGGGCGAGTGAGAAAGCTCATGAAAGCCCATGAAAACGGGATATAGCATTAGTTATAGAAATCTCAGTATAGACTGAATGAACTCAAAAGAGTCTAAGGCTAGTAGCATTTAGAAGAGATGGAATGTTTGTCACACCTCCTTTTTCCGGCACCGCGAGGTGCGTAGGGAGTTTTTTCCAATTAAAGGACAGTCGAAACGGGATTGGTTTAATTATTTCAGAGTCGCCACTTGGGAGATTTAGAGTGTCCCAAGTCACCAATTTTAATCCCGAATCGAGGAAAAGAATGACTCTATATTACAGTCTGCGTACCAGAAATCCGGATAAGGAATTCTGTTAACCCGGGAGAAGGTGTTAGGCATTCCCGAGTTCCGTGGTTCTAGCACGGTCGCTCAACTGTTATATTCGGCTTA